GCTGGCAAGGAAGCTATCACAGTATTGATTCCTACAGGTTGCATCAATCCTGAGAAACCTCAAGACTACGAAGCGCTGCGCCAACGAGCTCGTAAGCAAGTGATCTCTATCATCGAACAGAGAACAGGAATCAAAAATTTTGAGTCTCTTATCGAATGTGAAGTATTTAACACTCCTCAAATCTGGACTCAAAAATTCAATATCTTCAACGGCGCTATTTTAGGACTCTCCCACACAGGTACCTTAATTCTGACCTTCTTCATTCATATTTAAATCACCAGAGTACTAACGGTATTTTTTCTTCCAAAGTTCCTCAAGTCTGTTGGATGCGTCCATCTACTCGTCATGGTGAATTTAACAATCTGTTCTTCGTTGGCGCTTCTACTCACCCTGGTACCGGTGTCCCAATCGTCCTCTACGGTGCTCGTCTCGTCACAGATCAGATCAATAAAAATGTCAAAGATAAGACTCTATACAAAGGGGATAAAGGGAACTCGATGTCGATTCTAATTGCACTCTTAGTGGCAATTATTGCTATTTGGTACGCAGTGAACAATCCTGAAGCGGTGGAGAACACGATTGAGATGCTTCGTAGTGTAGTTGCGCAACCAAATTAGTTAAGCTTTTCAATTTGATAATCACTGTACGAGATGTGATCACTATTCCATCGTCAAATTTTTTTGTATTTCGTATATGGTCTGCTGTTTTCTGTCAAAATATCTGAATGTTCAGTGTGATGCATAACAATATATTCTGTTTATTTACTTTTCATGATGTCAACTGCAATTAATTGATCGGAAACCGACCCGCGGTTTAAAAATTGGCCACTTGTTCATTTTACTCTTATGAATGAGATCGCAGACAGATAATTACAGTTATTTGCTCTGTTTAAACTTCCACCACCAAAACATTTCGACCAAAAACATATGTGGTGTTGTCAGCGTACTTATAGTCACAATGAAAGCTGGCCAAAATGAATCAAAGTTAAAGTTATATACCACGCTAAGCCAATCTCTCTTAGTCCCCAATATATCATTATAATTTTGGAAATAAAATGACATATATCCAATGACAACTATCACAGGCAATGTAAACGGGATGACCAGTGTGATCAACCCGAATAAACTCTTCGCGTCGCCATTCTTGCGGAATGGCTGAGAACGGGATCCGTGATACGAAGGTGACTTTTGATTTCCATACTTTTGATTGAGATGATTATCTGCCTGTTGTGGATATAGTAAGTATTGTTTAATCGCGAAAAAATATTCGAAGGAATGCCATATTCCAAAGTAAATCGCGAACGCTACGAAAAGGTCGGTGATATGAAACATGAGGCAAAATAAAATTGATTTGAAAATCTCGATACCGGGTTTCCACCTGCTCGTCAAATATACATTGTCTTGAACGAGAAGTGGTTGAAATGATGAGAGCATTAGGATTACAAAGTGTTGCACGACACTGACAAGCAGGATTGTGTCGTAATGTGGCCAACTGACGTTTTCCTCCAAAACCCAGGACAGGCCTGTAACTCTGTACATAATCGGGAATGATAGCGATCGTTGTGACAATGCAATTAGGCCCATTAATAAAATTCCTCTCGACAAAAATAGCAATCTCCAAGGAAAATGGATTTTCCCTTTCGATTTGTCGTTTGCCTTCTTGATTCTATCGAGTTCATTGGTCTGTAAGTATCCAAAATCTCCTTGACCGAAATGATACGCAGACATCGCGACAAAAGTGAAGAAAGTAATGGCTGGTGATATATACCACATCGTCGCTTGTAGTGTCATCAGTAGAATATAAGCTGAATAAAATATAACTGAAGGATACCGAGCCAATTCTTTTATCTTCGTAGACATGAATAATCTCGAATAATAGCGACTGGACTTTCTAATTGAAGTTGCATGCAAATGAAGATGTGATGAGGATATGAGATGCTGACGATTTCTAAGATCAGGTTTCTTTCTGATATTGGCTAATCGCGTATTAGCGATTGCTCCAGTTTTGACGATCTGCTGTTGTCGGCAACAGTTCTTAGATACTTCATTCTCCTTTAAACAAATGTCTTTCCAGATTCGATAGAACAGCAAATGATCGACTGCTCCATGAGGTACGCCGCAGAAAATGACACATAACACAATAACTGGTATTTTCAGGTATTTGTCGAAGATAGCTGGTGTTGCATTAGCCAATAGTAGAATGGAGATTGTCGGTATGAACAATGGATATGGAAGAGCTCCATCAATTTCGAAAAATCGAAGTCGAGAATGTTTGATAGCTATTTGAGATGGAGTTGAATTCATATAGGAGGCAACGAGCAAACCAGTCGAAGAGGGCCATAAGGTTTTCGAAACGCGAAAGAGGATTGTTAGATGTTGGATAATTATTACGATTAATACATTACACTTCAACTGATATTGGCACCAGTATGGGAAATATTAGCGATACAATACAATATTATCATATCTATGTTAATGTCACAGTATGCTATAGCTAAATACATATTTACAATGCAACACCGGTAAGCTATTTTTTGTGTTTTATCCGTCATAACCTCGAGGATTCCGAGTTTGCCAGTTCCACACATCACGACACATAGTCCGAAGATCGCGAGTAGCTTTCCAGTTGAGTTCTTTCTCTGCTAGCGACGGATCACAATAGGCAGAAGCGACATCTCCAGGCCTCCTCGTGGTCACCTAGTGGAGGTCTTAGTACAATGTTGATATAACTTATCTTTGTGAATGAAATGATACCTTATATGGAATCTGAATGTTTGAAACTAGCGACATCTCGCGAATTACATCTAGAACAGAATATCCACAGCCAGTTCCAAGGTTATAAGTTTTGAGACCAGCTGCATCTTTCATTTTTTCTAAAGCTGCGACGTGACCAAGAGCTAAATCGACGACATGGAGGTAATCGCGCACACCTGGAAACGAAGTGTCAGCAGGCTCTCTACAGCAATAAGAGGAGGAGCATAATCCAAAACTTGCCAGTTCCGTCATTTGTATGGTAATCATTGCCGAATATATTAACGAATTCTCGCCTTCCAGTCGCAACTTGGGCCACAAATGGCATGAGGTTATTCGGTACGCCGCAAGGATCCTCTCCAATAAGTCCACTCGGATGCGCACCGACTAAAATATCGTCAGCTACTGTAAAACGGTTGTGATTTACGATCAATAATTACCTGGATTGAAGTAACGTAAGATCACAATGTTCCATCGTTTGTCAGCAAAATGCAGGTCGCGGAGAATTTCCTCAGCATGAAGTTTAGTACGCCCGTAAGGATTGGTTACACTCAACCTGCAGTCTTCAGTTAAGGGAAGTCGCTCGGGTTGACCGTATACAGTGGCAGAACTGGAAAAAACTAAATTGCGGACATTGAACATCTCCATCACTTCGATAAGATTCAGCGTGGATTGAATATTGTTGACATAATATTTGATGGGTTGTGCGACTGATTCTCCTACAGATTTTAATGACGCAAGATGCAGGACCGAATGAATGCTGTAAGCCTGAAATATAGACATTAACGCAGCTTTATCGCATAGATCGATTTTGAGGAATCGAGGAGCTCGCCCAGTAATCAGCTGGATGCGAGGGATGACGGCTATGTTCAAAGTTAACTTTTAGCTTTAAGTTCCTAGAGGTGAAACGGAGTACGCACTTTGGGAGGAATTATCTAAATTGTCGACTATAACAACGTTGTAGCCTTTGTGCAATAATTCGACTACTGTGTGACTTCCAATGAAGCCGCAACCGCCAGTAACCTGTCAAGGGTAAGTCAACATCCGACGGTTAAATCAAATTTTGAGTCAGGGCAGAGCATACTAGGATATAAGGTTTTTGTTCCTAGGTTCTAAGGTTAATTCAAGCTGAATATGAGGGATAAATGTCAATAGTTAACTACCATCTGCATTCCATTTGCACTTGCAAGGCTGACAGCATGCTCATCTGCGCAATTTTCGATTGAGATATTTTCAGCTTCTGCACTTAAGGCGGCTGTACCAAATTGCGATACGCTATATCGTCGCAAGTCCGGAAAACTTATACTCTTTGGAAAGTTTGTCTGCTTCGTCTCATTATTGATAGATAGATTGTGATGTCGTTTCCATGGTTCCGATGTGGAACATTCGAGTAACCGTGCTGATAAAGATAAATGTCAGAATAACAGTAGCAAATGCCGTATATATATATATTATCTAATACCTTCGTCTTCCATTCCGTTTTGAACAGATAAACTATGAGACTCGAGTCAAAGGTTTATAGTAATGAGTAGTTCAGACTCGCAGAAAATCTTCCACATTCAAGTCAGTGGGAGAAGAAGGGGCGACAATCTTAATGAGACCGAGCTGTTAACTTGTCGTCAAATATTCAAATTTTTCTACATTTATTATTATAGTTAACACGAACCAAAATATACTAAGTGGGCTAGACAGACACAATTTCAAGAAAATCTGAGAGACGTACCAGAACACGATTCGAACTCAATCCAGTGCAAGTTGTCTCCTCGTCTTTTTATTCATTCACAGGAAAGGATATTTACCACAAAAAAAAAACTTGCTTATCAGTGGCTTGATTTGATGTATTAGGAAGCAATTAATTTGGAGGAATAATATGGAATCCCGGGAAACACGACATCATGGATTCAGCCACACAAGCCACAGCCTCTTCCTTCTGCTGCCTGCGGACTTTAAACATGCCTTGAATGGTACATCGAAGGAAGGCTGCTAAAGCCCTCACTTGATGAAATATTGGAACTTTTGCATGGCGCTGGATGACTTGCGCCTCCAATCGCACTCGACATTGACCCTGCCATCGAGTTTGAAATTTGTTGCGTCTGGCCATCACAGGAAAGACGCCTGAGATTGACAAATTGAATTAGTGACAGGATCTCGAATTTTCAATGAACTGATTCGTGTGGAGATTGAGGTAGGTCAACGATGTTTAATTTTACTCTGTAATATAACGTTAACAAGGACCAGTTATCAACAACAGGCCTTATAGTATAGAGGTTAGTACGTCGGATTCTGATTCCGACAACGTGAGTTCGAATCTCACTAAGGCCTAAAAGCGTGCATTTTTTTTCGTGTTGTCCTGGGTCAAGCACACATCACTTTTTCCACCTCTGATGTAAATGTCGGATGAGAGTAGCAAAATTCGAGAGGGGAATGATGTTATGTCGCATCTCTGAAAGATTTTAAAGTAGTCAACGACTCTATTTATTTATGTAGGTAGGATTATCATTATTATGTACATAAACATTTGACCGGGTTGTCATATATAATGTTTTATTCATCTAAACTTCTATTCTGCTTCGTCTTCGGCCAGTGCTTGTCGACTTGCATTTGTCTTCCGCCGAGTGCTGATATTATGTCGCCTCATAAAATCGGACATCAAGTTTCGCAAAAGCGAATAAGGCAAGTAGCTATCAAATTCTGCTGTTTCCACAGATTTCGTAGATTCAGCAAACTAAACATCAATGTTAGAACGGCGAATGTGAAGAACTATCAAGATGGAAGGTGTATGGTGAATACCTTGTATAGAATAATAAATATGGAATCGAGATCCTTGGCTCGGAAATCTTTTGCTTCAGTGGTACACTGTCGATGATACAGTCGAAGTAACACGGTAGAAGAGGCCTATTTATGCAAATTGCTCATGTGTTAGGTCACAGAGCACATTATGTTTTTTGTGATTGGTATACTTACGTTCAACAGATCCTTTCTGAAATTTGGAGAAGCAGTAGCAGACTCAGGGAACACGTTACCCAAAGCGCAAACTGTGAATGCCTGGAACGCATCGGCGATGCAGTGTCCATTATGTTCATGAGCTTTGAAATTGAAACGTTAGTCGTACGGTCAAACGAAACATGAAGAACTCTATGGTACGATACCGTCAAATGTCGAAACGTATGCATAGGCATCCATACAGGCCATGTTCGTTAAGAGAGCGGTGAACATATATGGCAAGACGGCCCACACTCTTTTATCAATATTTAAAGTTTCTGCAGTGTTTTATGTTAATTACTTAACGCGTCGATCACTGTTAAAAAAATCAAAACGTACTGCAAAATTCGAATGCATTGTGCAACGAGGCATCTTTGTACCGACGTAAACCGATTAAGTTTGAAAAGTCATCAAACGTCTATGTATTGTCACATGAGTTAGTCGATCAGAAATAGCTACTTTCGAGGCTCATGTCCACGTTACCTGATCCTTGTCTACTCCGGATAACCAAGTTGATGAATGATATGCCTTCGTTAGCGCATGGATATGGGGGGCCGAGTTGTTCATTACCTAGGATCGGATATTTAGACATAGATGCAGAGCTTGGAAAGAGTTGAGTCGCAGTTCATACCGTTTCCAAAGATTCGTAGAGAACGCTTCGGAAATTGAGGAGTACGCCAAGCGCGATGAGCTTTTCTACATAATCATCGATACCTGCGTTCAGGACGAAATACGGTTAGCGATGAAGTTGATTTATATCATACTTAATGTGAAGTCCTACCCTTCATTTTACGAATTGTCTCCATCCATTTCGTCTCGTTAGAAAGCAAAGCCTGCAGCTGGATGAATGACTCGAGGCTGGTTGCAAAATTATCCTGATATTCAGAGGTGTTAGATTGAAGGAAGAAACATTCTGCTGTCATCAATATCTCACCATAACGTGCGACGCCAAGGCAGTGATGTATTTCAGTATTCTCTCATCCATGAATTTCACACCATTTGGTCCCACGAGTTCGCATAAGGCCAAAATTTCTAGAAAAGGAAGACGATTAGAAATGTCCCAGATTATGTCCAGTTAATATAAAGACATGAGCGTACCATTTCTGTCCAGGAATTCCTCGTAACGATACGCATTCGGAATCCGGGTGAAGAAACATTTTCGTAAAGGCGAATACATGACATTACCCGTTAAACACTTTGTTGCGGCGAAGTCGACATACCTTTGTAGTAGATGTCAAAAAAATTGTCATGCATTCAGAAGAAGAAAACTCTTTACGGCGTACCAAGTCGCTAATGTAGTCAAGTAGGTTTGGTTTGGATTGATAGTCTTTGTTTTGTTCCTCTCACGTTTTGTAGGACTCGATCGATTGATCAACTGATCGGGCAATGGTTCGCTCGTTTTCCGTGCACTATGATCGAGATGTCAAACTTCGGTTCAGTCGTTGATTCTAGTCAAATACACTATACGTACGCTTCAAGACTCGTTTGGTCGGATAAAATGGTTTTCAAGATAGAAGAAAAGTCGAATCGTGCTGATATAATATAAATACGGTCAGCGCTGAAGTGATTTTGTATGCACTTGTAAGCGTCCGTTCTTACCACATATATCAATTATATTCAAAGCATTGAAGTAACCAGTTATTAAATCTTTGAAAAGCGTAGGCTTTAGTATTGGATATGGAAAATCTTCCAATAGGGCGGCCGAGTCTTTTGATGGCGTCCAAGTTGGGTCATAGACGGAACTTTGAAGATAACTGTGAAGTAGTAATCGCATTAGAACAGAGACATTACGATTGGTACAATAAGGTCACTTACTTCTTGACGATTTCGGTGAAAGATTCTACGAGATACTGCATCGGACAAATAGTTACATCATAAATGGTTACAGATTTGGGACGTCGTAAGGAACTTATTAGATTCCGAACATATATTTTGGTTTTTTCGAGACTGTAAAAATAATCATTGTCAACTAACGGGGGAAGATGATTCGCGGGGACGAGAATCATTCAATACCTTGAGACTGGATTATTCGTGTACGACAATGCACTTTCCCATGCAGGTAAGGGAGGTTTTTCCGTAGCAAGCTGCTTCTTGTTGTTCTGTGCATCGGATTTCGATTCAACGAATGACAACGCTGCCACATGAGTCACTTGTTTAGAGTACTCTACTTGTTGCATTGCTATCGCTTGGAGCATTTGTGCCGTATGATTGCCGATGACGCCATATACCTCTTCGAGGAAGTAAGTGGTAACTTTACTGACATTTTCCAACTTGAACGAGCGAGTAGAAAAATGTTAATATCAAACATTATGAATGTTTAAAAATTTAAGTTGACATACTTCAGTTGACCACGCCGATGATGGAACCTTTAAGAATTCTTCTCCCAACATCCCGAATACACCGAAATACTTGACTTGATTTACATTGCTGGTTGCTATAATCTCATTCATATGATACCGTAATGCGTCGAGGTAAAAATATAACCCGTCCAAAGAAGCTGTCTTTTCCGCATAAGTTTCTAATTGATCGATGAATCTGGGTGAAACATCAACACTTCGAAGTCAGTTTCCATAAAAAAATTATCTCGGCAAATTACGTATATTGCTTACCTAGTCCGCCATGAGATCTCATTCATCAAACTGTATACCTGAGGAATATTGCGCTGTCTAGCGAATGAGAATGGGAGGGACATACAGGTCTGTAGTCTGGCCCAGTTCACTCTCAATGCCTTCAGCGGGACGTGAGCAAGTTAATAAAAATGTGCTTAGATCCGTGAGCTTGTATTATACGTACCTCTAAATTGTTGCCTTTTGCACTTTCCATACTGAGGTTTTTAATTGTATCAACGAGCGATAAGAATAATTCTTTGACAGTTTCCGGTATCGTATCTTTAAATTGTTGAATCATTGAATCCACCTGCTCCGACAGCTTTGGCGAATACGCTTTCGAGATGAAACTGACATAGTAACTTTGAATGACTATGAAAGCAATCAGTTTACGATCACCGGCTCTAATAAAGTTGACACAACTGAAATACCTTCTTTATTGACTAGTACTGTTTTTTTCATCTCCAGTACCAGCCAAATCAACTCAAGGATAGTCAAATCCACGTTCGCCAAAGCCGCTTGACCCATTTTGGAATTCTTTGCTTTCCCAGAGACCATGTTGATATCAAATTGTTGAAAGTAGCATAGGATCTCATCACGGGCAAACCCCAGAGTCGCAGAGACAACCTAACAATATAATGTATGTAAGTCGGCTGACTCAAAGCTATTTTGGAAATTGCCGGTATAAACGACGCACCGGAAACTTGGGTCCCATGATAGACGGTTGGTCTTGACATAAGGAGATGAGCTGTGTCAACTGATTCTTTATATATTCTCGTCGGTCTCGATGAAATGTAGCTGCCTTCTGAGGAAGGTTTGTGAATGCATCACTAGATAACAAAGAAAAAGTAAGTCTAGCAGCCAAGTGCATTTCTGAGAAATGCACATACTTTATAAGATTCTTCAATTTGGACATCTTTGTCATAGACTTGATAGTATTTTCATACTCTTGTTGAATATTAAATAGCTGGACAAGCAAGAAAATCTTAGCAATCGAGGACTCTGTTAATAGAAGGGGAGAACTATGTTTACCTCGTCTCGAACTAGTTTAGTGGTCGGATTATATCCGACAGCAAGCTTAAATGCCGCAAGTGCATTAGGATCTTTCATTAACTCTTGGGGGCAAGTAAGGAACCCTAAGACTATGTTCGCTGTTTGGTTCGCGATACCACTGAACCCTTTCATTCGCTATGAATGTATCATCAGTTATTCCAATACTTCACCCAATAAAGTAAATAAACTGCATACCATGTCTTCCATACACGGTGCTCTTAGGTTTGTCGTCGCACCCATACCAACTAACGATAACCCTCCTGTTCTTCTCAACTGATCAGCCGGAGCCATCGAACCACGGCTGTAATCCATCATTCCACTACAGATTGCCCCAGAGATTTTGAACGAGATTGGATTCAAGGCCTCTATTATGTTGGCATGAGGTTTATCGACATAGATCATCAAGTCGGATACCCTATGATACAAAGAAATGAAATGACGTCGTGTGAGCATAAAATCTGTTTCAACTCGTCCGAGGCCAACAGTGAAAGTCCTTACTTTTTATAATTCGGTTCCATCATTCCATTTACCATTGTAAACACTCGACCATACGCAGCAGTAATTGATTTTCGATGTGTTCCCAATTGAGATAGCATGAGTTGAATAGTCACATAATTCATAACCAAATTCAAAAAGGGATTGGCAACATCAGGATTGATTTCGGGCTAGTTTGGACGTATT